ACGATTTTGAAGTTATAGTCCACTAAGAGTTGAAGCGGATTCATTGCCATAGCATAAACAAGTTTATTTTGATACAATAAAAACATTTAGTATTGTGAATTTAGTTATAATCTATATTTTCGTGATTACCAAATTGTTTCTATTGGTTGATCCTGGGCCCTGAACTCCTGACCCATTAATCCTACTGTCTTCTCTGAATCCTCTCTGGGAACACTAATATACACCTCAAAATTGTCATGTCCAAAATGGAATTCTTGATCTCCCCCCATCCCCCAAACTTGGATCATCTATAATCTTCCACATCTCAGTTAATCACAGCTAAAATACTTTCATCGCTTAGGCTCAGAATGCAGTGGTATTCTTGTCTCTTCTCTCTTGCTTATGCCCCACAATGAATTCATCAGTAAATCATGCATGCGGGCTTACTTTGAAAATATATCCCGAATCTGACCTCACTCCCACCTTGGTTATCTAATTCTAGATACCATAGGTTTTTGAAAATTCATTCTTCTACATAATGGCATTTTTACCACCCTTTCTTTGAAACTTTCTCACAACACTCCGTCTTATTCTGCCCCCGACCTATGTACATGACATCGTTTCATCCCGGTTCTTCTTTCTTTCTTTGTAATTCTCAGGCCACATTTTCTCTCTCACTTCTTTAGCTTCCTAATCTTTTCAGTGTTCTATTTCCATGAGAAAGTAAGTGCTCTATATGGCTCTGATTTTTATTTTATTCCTGTCTCACAAAATATATGTATAACAATGATAGTACTGGGAATGATTTCAGGAGGTATACGAATGAGTATTTGTATTTTAACAGTCATGATTTTATTTTAATGTGTCTGAGACAAAATATAACTAGCATATAAAGCCCGAGATTTCACAGATATTATTGCTTAGATGAAGGCAAATAAATCAGTTTAAGTTGAATTAAAGTAAAAATTAAATCAACAATACTACAGTAGGTATGAGATGGGGAAAATGTAAATAGTACACAAATGTAGATAAGGAAACTTCAAAGAGTAAACTCAGTCCATTCTCTTTAGCGGATCAATAATTCTGATGGTCACCTGGAAAGATCCAGTGGGATGGCCCCCCATACCCTCAACATTAGGAAATAAATCTCAGATTGGCTTTTCCTGTGAAACCAGTTCCTCCTCTTATTCAGTGATGCCCCTATTTCAGTAGGTCAAGTCCAACAGCTAGAAGTCATTTGGGGCTCATTTCTCTCTTGTGTCCTCTTTATTCACTAAATGTTTAAACACTGAAATGTCTATCACATTTGCCCTTTCCTTTTATTCTCATTAACATCATTCTAAGCGATGACCCAATTACCTCATACCAAGATCATTGCAATGACCTCCAAACAATTCTCCTGCTTCCCTCTGAATTCAGTTGCATTCTGCCAGTGCCCTGGAACCATCCTTCCCATGTTCAAATGTTCCAGTGTTCAGTAGCTCCTTCCGAAAGCCGTGTCTGTGATCCCTAACCCCGTGCTAGTAATAATGCACATTTATTGAGTGCTGTGTGCTAAAAGACTTAATAGGAATTTTCTTATTTAATCTTCATGACAACCCTGTGAAGTAGATACCATAGATGAGGAAACTAAAGCTTAGAGGTTAAATGATTTGCCAAAAGCTGATATATGATAGAGCCATAATTTCATCCAAGTAGCGTAAGGCCAGAATCTTTACTACGCTGCCTTTCAATAAAGTTAACATCATTCCTCATGCGAGACCCTCTGTGTCCTCTATTCTATTTTCTTTTCCTTCATTCATGAGAGTCTCATTTCTGTACTATCAGGCCTTTGTCAAGATCCACCTGGGTTTTGATTTGCTACCCCTCTTATACACACACACACACACACACACACACACCACCTTCTGACACAATCTCCAAATTGTACTTCTCTTTTGGGACCCAGCTCAAGTTCAACCCGTTCAGTCTCACTAAAACCAGAGCTACCACTGGAGTAAATAGACATCTGTCCTTTCATATCCAGAGTTTATTTGACCCTGGTCCTGAATTATCCAGCTCCAGGTACCTGATATGAACTTAACACTGTGGACAAATAGGAGAAAAGAAAAACGGTGACACCGCCATGCTATGAATAGCAAGCAGGTACCTTCATCTCCAAATTAAGAGGATTTCAAAGTAATGCAAGTGGATGCAGTTCAAGGCATTGCTTTTCAAGTTTTTAATGTGCACAGGGTCTCTTTCAGCTTCTAATTCGTTGTGCTTACTAGACACTCAGTAACTGTAGTAACACAGGTTGATTGCCAGATGTGTCAGTATTTCACAGAACAAAGAGCCAGATATGAGTCCTGCCCAGAGAAATCATGGCTTAATGGAACATTTGGTTGAGCAGGACACTTTTGGCTCACTGATCTCTTTTCGACTGGTAAACTCATTCCTTGAGGCATTGTCCACAGAGAGCAGGAAAACAAATATAGATGGTAAAATAAGTGGTCTCTTCTGTCCTTTGTGTATAATACAGTTGCCACAGAAAATATCATAAAATTAGGAAGAAACTTGGATATCATCTAGTCCTATCCCTTCATTTCAGGAATGAGAAAACTAAAGCTCTGACAGGTAAATGATCCACACAGGGTCACATTCATGAGTGGCAGATTCAGAATCAGAACCCAGGACTTTGAGTCCCAGTGTGGCTTTTAAATCCTGACTCCACCTAGTAGATTTGTTAGCTTTGTAAACGCAGACAAGTTACTTACTCGTTCTGAGAGTAGTTTTCTTAGTTCTGCAATGCAGACAATGTTAATGATTACACTCATTTTAAAGGATTGTTATCAGAATCCAGTAAAGCCAAATGAAACAAGTAATGAGCAAGCATCAGCACATAACAGGTGCTTGATAGATGTTCATTTATCTCCTCAATGGTTAAGTTAGCTGATGTCCAAGAAGAATCTAGAAAACAAGTATTTTAGGAAGGTGATGTAAATGTTGAACATTATCACACAAAGTTTCTGAAAGTCTAGGAGAACCTTGAATTCGGAGTGCGGAAAAGGGAGTCAGCAGGGAAAGGGAAGGTGTTGAATGGTGAAGGTGTCTCAATAGTTTGTTTTTAAAAGGAAGAGGTGCATGTCAGCTGGGTGACTCATGAAACACTAAATGTTTTATTCTTGTTATCCCTGCAAAACAAACAAACCACTTTTAGCAAAGCTAAGCTTTATGTAGACCCAAGAAAAAAATTTCCTGAGACTCACATTAATTGCTTTTAAGAGATAGTTTTAAGTTTTGGATTTCTCGAGCTGTTACGTGAGTGTTAGAGCCAAGTCATAAGGCAATTGGTGACTTCTAATCTAGGGTGAAGACAGGCAGGGCCGAGGGAAGTTGTTCCTGACTCTTCCCCACTATTGTAAGTTAGGGTCTCAGGCCCCATACAGCGTCTCTGTTTAGCACAGGGTGGGCATGGTGCCTGATCCTGGCTAGGCTGCCACACTCCAATCTACCTTGGACTTGCTGGGACCCCTTCAGAAGGCATTTTCTCTGAGTGCCTCTTTTGGTCCTCACTTGTTTGCTCTGGAGACCATAAATACCTGGACGTGGGCTGTGAGTGCTGAGAGTGAATTGTCAGGAGAATATTGATCATCCAAAACGTTTTGAGTTTTTTAATTATAAAAAATGTATATGCACATGAGAGTATAGGGAATAATTCAGCATATACCCATGTGACACTCAGATTTAACACATGTTAATTGTTTGTTCCTATCTGCTTTAGAAAAAAGTCTGAAGTAAAAAGTCACAGATAAAATTGAACTTCCCTTTTATTATTTCTTTTTCTCCCTCGTCAAAGGTAATCATCGCCTTAAAGGTGGCTTTTCTTTATATCTATGTTTATATTTTTACTACTTACGTATTCACAAACAATATATAATATCAATTGGTCCCTGAATAATTTTTAAGAACACATAATTTTTTGTAACTTTCCCTTTTCACTCAACACGTTTTTGTGATGTATCTATATGGATGCAGTTAAATCCGTTAATTTTAAATACTAGAGAATGTTTCTTTATATGAACGGACTATAGTTTATCCATTACCTCATTGATAGACATTTAGCTTGCTTCCAATTTTTTTGTGATTACTAAGAAGACTGCAATGAGTATCTTTGATCATATCTGTTTGTGTACACAAAGATTTTCTCTACGATATACATCTAGAAGTCAACTCCTGGAATGTAGGGTGTGCATATCTACAGCTTCACTAGATATGGACAAATTGTTCTCCAAAGAGGCTGAATTAATTTATAGTCCTTTCCCCAGTTTATGACGATTCCTCCTCAATGCTTGATATTACAAGATTTTAAATTTTTTTCCTAATTAGACAATTGTAAAAATGACCTCTCTTTCTTTTTACTAAGAAGTTTGCACGTTTAAAAGTAATTATTAGCCATTTGAACTTCCTTGTCTGCAGATTTCTTATTCATGTTTTGTGTCAATTACACGCTTGCATTTAAATACAAATATGCATTTGTAGACAAATAATTTTGATATTCTGGAAAAGACCCCTTATTAACTCTGTGATATTGATTTCCATGCTCCTGAACTTTTGATTATTCTATTGAGTGGATTCAAATGTGAGAGCAGCCATGGATTCACTCTCATGTTCAGCGTTGCCCAGGTACAGTCTGTATTGGGCAACCACAGGAGATCTGTGAAACAAGTTTGCAGAGTGGTTACAGCACAGGAGTAGGGCTCAGAAGCCCCGATTTCCAATCTCAGTTTGATCACTGATTATCAGAGAGTTACTAGGAGGCTTTTTCCTCATCTGTAAAATCGCAACATTAATACCAGCCTCAAGGGCTTTTGTGAGAAGTAAATCAGAGATATAAAATCACCTTGCAACGTGCTACACAAATGTCAGCCATTATTAGTAGCAGCAACCCAAATACAAGTTCATCGTGTTAGTCTGCTCAGCCTGTCATGACAAAATGCCATAAACTGGGTGACTTAAGCAACAGAAATGTATTTTCTCACAGTTCTGGAAGCTAGAAGTCCGCTATCAGGTGCCACCGTGGGGGTTCTAGCGAGTGCTCTCTTCCTGCCTGCAGATGGTCCTCTGCCTTCTCACTGTGTGCTCACGTGACCTCCTCCTTGTGCAAGCTGAGAGAGGGAGAGCTCTGGTGTCTTCTCCTCTTCTAAGAGCACCCGTCCTATTAGGTCAGGGTTCCACCATTATGATGTCATGTAACTTTTATGACCTTCTCATTGGCCCTTTCTCCAAATCTGGCCACATTGGGGGTTAGGGCTTTAACACAGGAATGTTTGGGGAGACACAGTTCAGCTTTTGTAGCGGTCATGGTAGATGATTGCCTGTTCATTTGTTTCCAAATAGGCTTACATTTCTTAATCTTAAATCCTTTCATTGGGGCTTGCAGACCTAGATACGAACACCATTAATTTTGTGAAGAAGTTATCTCTGGCTTATTCCCTTCAAAGGCATTATTATTCTCAAACCAAGGGTTGACCAGTTCTCCAACTATCATTCCGAAGGAACAAACCCTGATTGTCAGCCGTTACCCTAGACAGTGCCAGCTTAAACCTGATTGTGTAAAGAGACACATCAGTGCTGTCTTGTAGCACTTTCTGTGCTGATAGACATGGCCTATAAAATGGTCTATGAAATCTGCGCTGTCTAATACAGTTGCCGTTAGCCACATTCAGCTATTAAGCACTTGACATATGACCACTGTGACTGAGGAACTGTATTTTTTATTTAATTTCAATTAATTTCAACTTAAATAGCCACACGTGGATAGTAACTACAGCAGCGGGCGGTGCAGGTCTAGATCATTTGTACTCCCCAGTCATGAAGCGACTCCTTCAGCCACTGATTTCTCCCTTTCTTTGTGTGGTCTTAGATCCCAGAGTCTGTGCAAGATGGTGGCTGGTGTCTTCGTATTTTCTAACAGGGACACGTGATGACAAAAAAGAAAAAGAATGGAAGTTTGGAGCTCACATCGGAATTGTGAATCAGTGGATGGATGTGAATGGACTGAGAATTAGGAAGTCAGAGAAGGGCATTAAGGAGTGATATAAAGTAAGGAAGCAGAAAATTCTATGGAAATAGTCCTCGTAGAAAGTGCAGCAATAGCATATGCTCCAAAGGTCAAGCATTTGGAAAACATCAAGTTTTTACCTTTTCCATTTTTCTTTTACTTTCAGGAAATCTGTGAACTAATCCTTAATGACAGAGGGTTTCCAGATTCATGATGAAGAGGCCCCCGTGCAACCACTCTGAACTAAAACTCAGCATGCCTGAAATGAGAAGAGAAAAAAAAGCAGTCACTTGTTACTCAAAATATTTCAACTTTTAAAATGATTTTACCTGGGTCCCAAATAGGAACAGCTCACGAAAGGGGATCACAAAGCCTGGACAATCCAATCACAGTCAGCCAGTGACACCTGCCATCCCAGGCTCCCATTCTGCCCCCAGATTCCATTAGGAACATGCCAAGGAAGGTTCACAAATGCAAGTTCCCAGAGCATCTGAAACTAAGACCAACCTGTTCAAATGAGCACGGTCCCCTAGGCTCACCGACGAGAGAAAACAGTATCAAAGCCATTTATGGAAGCCACGATTCTGAATTTTTGGTTAAACCAGAAGACAGGATGGCCCGAATCTGTTCTGGAAAAGCAGGTTGTAAAGCACCAGCTTTTTGATCAGGTGTTCTGAATCCCTTTTTTCCCCACATGGAAGAATATTTAGTGGTATGGGTAAACATTCATGATAGAAAGCAAACTAATTTTTCTTTGACCTCAGCCATGTTGAAAATTTTGCATAGGAAAATATTAGGGTACATGAATATTGCAGGTGCTTATCTTATTTTCAGTTATTTTCTTAGAGAATTTTTTGGATTTTACATTTTCTAAAGTGTACATTTACTTGTATGACAATAAATATATATATAAGCATAAGATGACTATATTCTGTTTATATTTTTTGTAAAGCTCATTTTCCATTGAGACTTTGTCTTTTCTTTTTCATGATACTTCTATAAAAATGCCAGTTTCTTTAGAACTGATCAAAATGTGGAGAATAATTGGACTCTTCTCTTTTTAAATTTTTATTTGTTTTTTTAATTGACAAATAGAAATTGTATCCATTTAAGGTGTACAACAGGATGTTTTGAAATAAGTTTTTCGTTGTGGAATGACCGAATTAAGCTAATTAACATATGCATTACTTATCTCACATACTATCATTTTTGTGGTGAGAATGCTTAACATCAATTCTCTTGGCAATTTTTAAGGGTACAATGCAATGTTATTAACTATGGTCACAAAGTGTTCAGAATCTTGAGAGCTACTTCTCCAAATGCTCAGCCTACATTTTCACCCCCTGTCTCCTCTCTCTGGCTCATGCCTGCCACTCACACACTGGCAAATCATGTTTACTGTATTTGTGATTGAACAAATGCCTTTGTGTGTCTGACAACATAAGCATTCAAATTATGAAAACTGTCTGTTGTGCTCAGATCAATAGGCCAAACCCACATTTACTTTTTAGCTCAGAAAAAGCTTTCCATTTTCCCCCCTAATGGCCTTTAACATCTGTGCCAATAACCATCAAGCCAGGACTAAATGTCCCAGAGCTTGAGCAGGAAGGTGGGACGTGGGCCACAGGACTGGGTACACCTTCGTCTAACTCGTCAGAGTTTTAAAGGTTCAGAAGTCCCAGAGGAAATCTCCCCTTCCAAAATATCCACTCCTCAATGCAGCCACTCATCCACTCCCTCCTTCCCCCTGAAAGCACTGCTGGGGGCCACCCGTGCCCTTGCCTTGGGTCTGGCATGTCACCAAGCCTTTCCAAGGCGGTACCAGGATCCAGATTACCACCGTGACACAATCTGGGCCCACATCATAGAGGAACAAAGGTTGTAGGGATCCAGGTGACTGTTCCAAAGTCTTGTTCTAACCCTATTACTCACTCAGTGGGCCCAATTGCCATTGTTATTTCTTACCACCCATCCTGGCATCTGATCTGAGAATAACAAGAGCAAGCAAAGTTTGCAGAGTGATTTACACTTAACCATGCACTTTCTTAAGAATTCATTCCAGTGGCCACTCCTTACTCCATTACCCTGGGCCCTGCACAAACCACTCCCTCTTCCAGCCTCTATTTTTCATCCATTTTGTGGGGATCATAATAGTCAGAGACCCCATATGGGTATTGGAATATTTGAAAGAGATAACATATTGCGTCCTTAAAAGGGCCACTGTGGCCAGGTGCTGTGGCTTACACCTGTAATCCCAGCACTTTGAGAGGCCAAGGTGGTGGATCACTTGAGGTCAGGAGTTCAAGACCAGCCTGGCCAACATAGTGAAACCTTGTCTCTACTAAAAATACAAAAATTAGCCAGGTGTGGTGGCAGGTGCCTATAATCCCAGCTACTTGGGAGGCTTAGGCAGGAGAATGGCTTGAACTGAGGAGAGAGGTTGCAGTGAGCCAAGATAGAGCTACAGCACTCACTCCAGCCTGGGTGACAGAGCAAGATTCCGTCTTAAAAAAAAAAAAAAAAAAAAAAAAAAAACCGCCACTGCAGGCATAAGCGTGTGCTGAATTTAATTCCCCATCTCTATTAAAACTTACTGCAAGGAGTGAGGTAGAACTGTTTTCTCACCACCCCATCTCTCACCTCATCTCAATAACAACAAATCATAATAGGCTTAACACTATCCATGGTGGCATTGGGGCACGTCTTGCACTTACAGATTTGAGAAGAAAAGAAAGAAGGGAAAGTCTCAGTTGGACTGTAAAACAGTTGGACGGAGAAGAGCTCGAGGCTGTGTCATATCTCAGTTCAGCCCAGCCTGGGCACCTTCCACATTTCTCTCTTCCCTCACTCCCTGACTAAATTGCTTTAGGAACTCACCTGTTCGACAGTGTGGCCCCTCTGAAAGTCCAGCCTGGTAGGGTCCAATGCCCCTTGCGTGATCCACAATGACTCCTTAGTCTTTCCCTAAAATCCCAGGTGTCCTGTCGTAGCCACGAATTTGCAGACCCACGCATGCCTCCAGGTTTTGCCACCTCCTTCTTGCAGGTGTCATCGCAACGAGCAAAGACAGCTGCAGAAGACACGAGGGACTAGGCTCCACTTTCAAAAATGCATGTCACAGTGGAGGTAAGCACCTGAAGTATTTTTTTCTTTGAAAGATACAGCACTTGTTCCTCCCCACCTCCTATCTTCACACGCTTTGGGGTAACTGACCGATGACTCATTTGTTCATTCTTCCTGGAGATTCCTAAGACTGTGCAGGGTCTATCAGTAAAAACGTTAGAAATCTCACAGTGCTGAGAAGGACTGTGTCCACCTACTGGTGAGAAACAGGAAGAGACCCTCGAAGGAGCCCAGCGAGGGAAGGCTCATGCCATGCAGGAAACCGTCAAGAAAACTGGGACATGGATCATCAGAATAAAAGAAAACCAGACAAAGAAAGATATTCTGAAAGGAAAGACAGTGTGTTTGGGGGTCGAATTTGCTTCGAGTTATCATTGCACGTGGAAGATTTAGAAGGAATTTCTTTCCCAAAAGGCCTGAATTTGAAACATCAGATTCAAATGTATAAAAAACAGGGAAGGTAGAAAAATCAAGTACCACAAAATTGTGGATTTTAGCACAAAACTGATCGTATTGTCTCCCTAGATTTTTAAAAATTGGACAAACATTGAATGCATCTTGGTTCTTCTGAAAAAGTCTGGCCACCAGGGATAATTTTCAAGCCCGTCTAAAGGACACGAGGTTCAGTCTTTTGTGTATACTTACCCCAGTTGTTACATACCTACAGCATGTGGGCAAGGCCCCTTCCCAATCTCCGTGCTGCAAGTAGGAGAGAGAGCTATTTTTCCCTATGCATATGTTGATATGCAGAAAGGAGGACAGCACTACTCAGTGCAAGCTGTCCTATTGAAGCCTCGTTTCCTGTCAATCTTCTTTTTTTTTTTTCCATGAAGCTTTAATTTTTTGCCACAGCGCTTTCTTCATTTTAGTTTCCTGCAAACCTCAGGAAATAGACTGAAATTAATATCGTCAGATGCTTCCGAAAGTGCTGGCTTGGCGGCATTGCAGAACGCTTTCGGATGCCATTTTGGGATCAAAATATACCAGTTATGCACCATTGTTTATAAGAGAGATCTGGGAAAGGAGTTGTGTCTGAGATTGTACCAAATTGAAATGTAGGTTAAAAAAAAAATAGGAATAGAGACCTGAAGTCCCAGAATAGGCAAAGCTGGCAGGTAAGCAAACTGAAAGAGCAAGCTAAGAAGAAACACCTTCAAGGGTCACGGTGGCCTTACAACGCCTCATCAATGTGGGAAACTGAGGCAGGGCACCTTTGCTCTTGTTTTCTATATAAACTCTGATGCTTTGAATAAGACATTCATGTCCTAGCGCCTCCAGATCTGACACCAGAGAGAAACATAATGTGTCAAGTGACATAAAAAGAGATAAAGATATTATTTATTAGAGCATGCACTCTGTAACTATTAATGTGTTGGGGGAGGGAGCTCCCAAATCCTAGGTTTTCTCATGTCTCACAGGCCTCAAGGAGCACCCGGTCAGGGGTGAGGCTGGCTTAATTCCTAGTGCCAGCTCTGCCCCGGCTCACCTTCACACTTTGGGCAGATCCCTGCTTCTTCAGATGGCAGTCTCTCCGTCGGGCTAATGGGAAGAGATGACACACACCTCCCTTCTTCACAGTGCAAGGGCATTGCAATGATAAACTTGCAACAACTATATAAACATGCCTGGAGTTCCTGAGGGGAAAAGTGTTAACATGAATTGAAGTTATTTTTATTGTCGTTCGCTTCTACGTCTATGGCTTCCTAAGAGTAATAAATAAAGTCATGTGCAATTTCTACATCTCCAAAAATGTATTTAAAACCTTTGTAATATTGAAGAAGACTCAGTCTTTATATTCTTTATGTTTTAATCACTTTTTGGGTCAGTCAACTACAACTTCTCTACACAGCACAGCCCCCACCCAATCAATCTTGGAGACCCAATGATTTCACAACCAACATGTTTTTCTGCATTTCTATGCCCCTGATTCAAGATCTCACCACCTTCTACCTATCCAAGCATAATAACCACATTACTGGCTTTCCTGCTCTGAACTCTCCTCTCCGCAGGCAGCCTCCACATTTCCACCTGCCATCTTCCTAATATGTTGCCCCAGTCAGGAAACCATGGAGCTAGATGATCCTTCAGAGAATTTCTAAGAAAATCCGTATTTGCTAAATGAGGATGCAATTCCCAGAAAAGCTAAGTGAATCACCTTGAGTTACCTGGCGCTCCTGGAATAGAGCTGAACTCAAAGCAGCCAGATGACCAAACACCAGGTCTTTACTTATTATGTCTAGGGATAGAGCTGGACTACAGGTTAAGGCCCCTGACCCCATGTCTGTGCTATTACTTCTTAGACTTCAGTGGTTCCACACATCCTATAGCATAAAATCAAGCACTGAGCTATTATATGCGGCTTCATATAGCAGAAATATGACCACAGAGGCTGGAAAAAATCGGGCTTTACTTTTCTCACCTAAGAAGTCTGAAGGTGGGCCTTTTGGGGTGGATACTGTTGTTACAGGAAGTCATCAGGAAACACGTTCTTTCTCATTCCTTTCCTGCCCTCCCAACCATGAGCCTTTGTTTCAAGGTCACAGGATATCTGTTCTGCCTCCAGGCCTTGGATTTGCATTCCGGACAGAAAGATGGAAAGAGGAACAAAGGACAAAAGCCATGCGCTATCTGAGTCCCTTTTTAGCAGTCATACTACAGCTTTCCCAGAAACCTTACCTAGTAGATGCCTGTATACATCTTGTAGGTAAGAATTGGGTCACATCATACTCCTATACCTACCTGCAAGGGTAGCTGGGGAAGTTCATCATTTTAAATGAACATGAGGCCACTCTGAAAAACCATGGATGGTGTTCTGTTAGTAAGGATGAAGCAGGGAATGAATATTGAATAGGCAACTGGAATCTCAGTCCCAAATACCTTAGCGTTGATATTCAGTATTTTATGGTCCAACCCCAGTAGACTTTTCCAGGCCCTTTCTCACCCCCAGTCACTCATTCTGTATCCCAACCATTCCAGGGCCATCCACATCTCCCACACATGTGCTGTGCTTCTTCGCCTTTCTGTTTCTGCCCACCTCCTTGCCCCTACTTCTTTAAGACCCAACTGAAATATCACTCTGCTTTCCTTAATATTCGCCATAAAGAGTGACCTCCCACTTTTTTATTCTCCCATAATATACTGTATTTACCTGCATTACAACACTAATCACATCTCAGTTTAAATTATAATTTGCTTTGCACATATCTGTCTCATTCAGCAGAATATAAGCTTCAGAAAAGCAAAGAGCATATCTTGTTTATATCCAGGGCAAAGTCTAAAATTTTGTGTGTCCCATAGTAAATTTCCAAGTGTTTATAATTTAAATGATTTTTTTCACTTTACTTGCATGGTGAATAATGAATCAAAACGTACAGCTCATAAAATAGTGTGAATAAAAAGACTGAGACCTCCCATCTCCCTGGAATAGTCTATCAGTGCCCTCCTAGAGGCAGGGGGATGAACCCCAGGATTCTCTCCCAGCCCAGGGAGTCTACGATGGTGTCAACACCCAAAAGAGCAGGACTCTCCAGGTTCAGTGACTGGTACTTTACTCTCCACCCTTCAAGCCCTAAGGACATGAGGGCGACACAGACAACACTTTCTTTGCCCTTTTGATTTAATCCTGAGCCTAATGAAACTCTGCCAAGGTTTCGTTTCCCGATCTGTTTTCATCTCTAGTCTGAATCTCTATTAGGCTGAAATGATGGCTATTCTCTGTATCCAACCCCACCATCACACCATCACTACCACCACCAAAATTCATTATCTGACCTTCTTCACTTGGCTTTGTGCCCTGAGGTGCTGATCCTGTGGAATTAGCTCCAGATTTCCTTTCTGTCTGATTTCCAGTTGGGCTCAGCCATCAGTCACAAAGCGAGATAGGAATGCCAGAGGAGGGGGAGGCAGGAGTATTTCTCCCCGCTGCTCCCCTCCTGCTTCAGTGCAGAGTTCTGCCATTGGCTGCATTCTGTCCCTCCAGGACTATAGCTCCTGGCCGGTGGCCCTTCCCCAGTGGCCACAGTCTCAACAGGCTCCAATAACACTCATTCCTCCCTCACTACTCCAGGGCTTACGATTGTTCCTCATCCCTGAGTGCCTCGACACCCACTCTAACCCTGCCCACACCTCTATAAAGAGTCACCTTATGAAATGTTATTCAGAATCTCATCTGAGCACACCTTATTTTATGCCAGGAAGCAGACTGACATGGCCACCAAGGCTTTTGCTCCAGACTTACGTCTGGATGACACATGATGAGAATCATTCCGAATTTTTGAACTGGCTCCATAAGCACATACCCTATGATGGTTTCCAGAGAAGCCCTGAGTAGTGATTTTCTTGTGTTCTCCCAGGACTGAGTGAATCGTCAGCAAAGACTTGATTGTTCCTACGACTGCATCAAAAAGTCTTGTACATTTAGGAATCTCCTTCTCTGATACAAAAATAACATTTCTCCTATATAATTTTATTGCTTATGTTTTGGAAGATGGGGAGGAGGATAGTAGATAAGGACCCAGTGGATGACAAGGTATCTGATTCATTGGGTCTGAAACCAAATAAAAAAATGCTTCCTCAAAGACCATTTCACTCCAGAGTGGAATAATTTGAGTATAGAGCGTTTACCTAATAAACATCAGATGATCATACCATAAACTCAGAATAAAACCTTTTGTGCCTTGTTTGTGTGCTCCTGGAACCTCCAACCCCTCCATAAGAAGAGCACCTTAAAACTCCTTCCTTCCTTATTTCCTTCCCTCCTTCCTTTCTGCCTTCCTCCTTCCTTCCTTGCTTCCTTTCTTTTTCCTTCTTTCCTCCCTTCTTCTCTCCCTCCTTCCTCCCCTCCTTCCTCCCTTTCTTCCTTTTTGTTGTCAGCAAAGGGGCAGTAATGGGCAGCATACCATTAAAGCACTTGCACATTTTAGGATGTAGATACTGACCAACAAATGTGGGCTTGATCATGATTAGTTAGAGGTCAGGATTGCCTTACTCCCTGAGGCCAGCTAATCATTGTTTACCTAAAAGTTTCAAGAATTAATGTTTGGTCTTTTTGCATTCCCTGTATTTGGGGGAGGCTGGAGACTCATTGTGGCTCATACTATTTTCTGCACCCTCACCTTTTCCCTTCTGCCCCCTTTTGCTGACCTGGACAGCAATTACTGCTTTCTTGGGAGACTGGATCAGATGTGGATGGATGAAAGAAGCAAGTCTACCCTGGGAAAGCAGAGCACAAAACGAAATGAAGACTTCAATTTCTGATTCTTTCGGGCACATTTAAGCAGGCTATCATTAGAAAAACCTGCGAGATATGCTAAATTTGAAGAAGATGTAATTGCAGAATAATACATCCTATTTCTGATTCTATTTATGCACGTGCATGTAAAAACTCCTTCTTATATATGAATTCAAATACATAACAAAAGATTAGGAATGTCCACACCAAAGTGCTGGTGGTGGTTACCCCGGGAGTGGATTTGGAATGAGGGTGAGTGAAAGAAGGCATTCACGTTTTATTCAGTATTCTTTTGTAATCATTGATTTTTTTCAAAATGAGATTATCTTTTAAGTTTTTGCTGACTTAAGTAATATATGGATTCCATCACCAGTAGTGAATTTTTTAACAATTTTTTAAGTGTTTTCTTTCCCTTATGTTCTAAAAGGAAGGACCAAATTATTCAAAAAGAAAGTTTTAAAAATTAAGATTTCTTCATTTGAAACACATCCTCTGTCATTTTGGGGTGTCATTGTGCTTCCTGATCATGATTTAAAATAGATAGTAATGAATCATCTTCCATTGCAAGTTTGACTCAGTCAAGTAAAAATGGTTCAAAGGAAATCAAAATTAGGAATTAATCTTCTCCTCTATTACCACAATGATGCTTCTCCCATGGGGTTTTAATGCTTGCGT